AGGTTGGAGTACAGTGGTGTGATTATAGCTCACTGCAGCCTTGAACTCCTAGGCTCATGCAATCCTGCCTCGGCCTCACGACAGAGATTTCTTATACTCTGTTAAGTATAACCTACTGTTGGTGATAATACGGTGCTTTGAGAGCCGTCATGTGTTACTGAGGAGAATGTATCAGTAAAACCAAGAGCACAATTTGACAAATAGATGCTAAAACCTCAAATATTTATTCTTTGACATACTTCTTCCATTTCTGGGAATCTAAGGAAATTACTGAAACTGTGTCTTAGCTCAGGCTTAGGTATAACAAAATACCATAGACTGGGTGAGTTAAACAACAGAGATTTATTTTCTTACAGTTCTGCAGGCTGGAAAGTCCAAATCAAGGTGCCCACAGAGTTAGCCTCTGGTGAGGGCTGTTGAATAAAAATTATAGAAGGCAGTTGTTTTGGACTAAGCTCCTGAACCAGGCCCAACAGACCAGACTAAACATCAAAATGGAGTAACTCAGGCTGAGGTTCCATATCACTAAACTAAAACTAAGTTGTTATCTAACCTTCTGAGAAATTAGAAACTTTCATGTCCACTGAGCAGTAACAAGGCACCTTGCCCCTGCCTCCAAAGTGTCAAAGTAGATTGAACAGGGAACTTGGATCTTTATGCCCACCTGGCTGTAGAGAGGTGGCACTCCCCTTCTTGCACCAGCATGGTATCAGAGGAAGCTTTTTAAAGCAAGATGCAAATAAGATTCAAAGTCTCACAGTGATAGATGCAGGAGCAGATAAAGAAACCTTGCACAGAGTCTTGCCTGGGCATGCCTGCAACGGACTGGGGGCCCATATGCACATTGAAAGAATGAGGCAGAGCCACCAGGAATTCATGCCTTATGCAGACGGAGGAGCTGGATCTCTTCAGCTCCTGTGTACTGACCTGGCATTCAGTCTGTGAGGTGAGAATCTGTTGATGGACCCTCTCTTTCTTTGCGGAGAGCTTTCTTTTCACCTAATAAATACATCTTCACCATTCAATGTGTCCGTGTGCCTAATTTTTCCCAGTTGTCAGGCAAGAACATGGTTTTTAGCTTAACTAAGGAGCAAAAAATCCTACATCAATAGCGTTATACCCAAAATGTCCAAGACAAAATAGAAGATCACATTTTGTATGAGGAACTAGGAAAATCTCAACTTGAAAGAGAAAATTCAATCAGCAGATCAACACTGAAATGACGCAGCTGTTGGAATTATCTGAGAAGGATTTTAAAGCAGCCACTATAAAAATAATTCAACAAGCAATTATGAACATCCTTAAAACAAATTAAAAACTTAAAAGTCGAGCAAAGACATAAAAGACATTAAAAAAATGAAAATTTTGAAAAATGCAATTCAGAAGGCTAAAGTGGGAGGATCATATCTCTCTCTCTCTTTTTTTTTTCTTCTTTTCTTTTTCTCCCCTCTCCAAGACACTATTTCTTAAAAAACAACAGGGCTGGGCATAGTGGTTCATGCCTGTAATCCTAGCACTTTGGAAGGCTGAGGTGGGAGAATCTCTTGAGTTGGCTATCCTGGGCAACACAGAGAGAACCTGTTTCTACAAAAATAAAATTTATCCCCATATGGTGGTACATGACTGTGGTCCCAGCTTCTTGGGAGGCTAAAGTGGGAGGATGGCTTGGGCCTGGGAGGTTGAAGCTGCAGTGAGCTGTGATCATGCCATTGCACTCCAGCCTGGGTAACAGAGTAAGACCCTGTTTCAGAAAGAACCACAACAAAAACTACTGAAATTAAAAGCTCAATGTATGGGCTTAGCATCAGAGTGGAGGAGACAGAGGAAGGAATCAATGGACTTGAAGACAGAACAGTAGAATTTACCCAGTCTGAACAACAGAGGAAAAAACAGACTGAAAAAAAAGAAGAAAAAAAAATAACAGTCAGAGGTAGGACTATAATAAAAGATCTAACATTCATGTCTTTCAGAGTTCAGAACACTTAATACAATCCAACAAGAGAAAAACACCACTTTATCTATTGAGGAAAATTAATTTGAATGAAGTAAATTTTTTATCATCAATCATGGAGGTCAGAAGGAAGTGAAAAAACATTTTCAAGAGCTAAAATAAAAAACCTTTTAATCAAGAATTCTATATCCAGTGAAATTATCATTCAGGAATAAAGGGAAAATATTCTCAACAATGTAAAACTGATAGAATTTGTCATCTCTATATCTGCTCTAAAAGAATGGCTAGAGGAAATTCTCTAAATAGAATGCATAAAAGAAGGAATCTTGAAATATCAGGAAGGAAGGACAATGAAAAAAGCAAAAAACACAGGTTAATACAACAGACTTTTCTTCTCGTCTTGAGTTTTCTAAATTATGTTTAACAGTTGAAGTTAAATTATGTTTAACAGTACCTGATGTGATGTATGTATGGGAAATATTTCAGACAATGATGTTGTAAGTGGCAAAATGGAAAACAACTTAAAGGATACAGGTTTCTACATTTCCCCGGAACTGGCAAAATGTCATTACCAGTAGACCTAGTAGACTTTTGCGGTACTGAAATAGTTTTGTATCTTAATTTTGGTGGTGGTAACAGAAATCTACATGTGCTAAAATAACATAATACTATACACATACATTATATCAATGTTAATTTTCTGATTTTAATCTTATGCTAAAGTCATGCAAAATATAACCTTTAGGGAAACTGGATAAAGGGCATGTGGGACCTCTCTGTACTATCTTTGCAACTTCTTGTAAATCTATAATTATTTCAAAATGAAATAATTTTAGAACATGTTTTAAAGAATACTTATTGACATAGAGAAATGATCAAGGATGATATTAAGTGAAAAAAGTAGGATATACAATATATTAGGCATAACCAAAAATCTATATGAAAAAACCCACAAAATTAAAACTAAAACCTTACATGTCTTACTATAAATGTAATAGACACTATCAAGCACAAGGGTCAAGACCATGATAAGCTTTGAAGTCAGGGTGACCTGGGACTAGTCTTGCTTTGTCACATATGTGCTGTGTGATCTCAAGGAAAGTGTTCACCTTTTTAGGTCTCATTTGCAGAATGAAGATAATAATAACTGAGTTGTTGTGAGGATTACACAAGAAAGTACATCTAATAAACTTAGTACACAATATGTCACATAAAAAGTGGTAAAAAGCATTAGCTATTATTATTATACAAAGAAAAATATAGTGCTAACAGTGGCTTTTATTGGTGGTAAATTGTGGATTTTAAATTTTTTTACTTCTTTACATTTTTATGTCCTTAAATGTCTATAATGAACCTATATTACTTTTTATGGCACCATAATTCACATATCATAAAATTAATATATTTTATAATTGTTTTCAGAGATGAGGGTCTCACTATTTTGCCCAGTTTGGTCCCAAACTCCTGGCCTCATGCAATCCTCTTCTCTCAGCCTCCCTAGTTGTTGGCATGAGCCACTGCATCTGGCCTACTTTTATAATTTAAAAAAAAATAGGAAAATGTTCTAACTTGTCCACTTTAAGGGAAACTAATATAAGACAACTAGGCAAGTGCACTGAACATCAGTGCCTTGCAAAGAAATGTAAGTTAGGTTTATTACTATATTAAAGAGGTAAAGCTTTGACTTTTCATGAACCATTTTAATACTATCATTTGTTCCTCTATGTATTTTTCTTCCAGTAGCTTGTCTCATTTGTATCTGTGGAATTTTAATTTTAATTTATGATAACATGGAGTGGCTAATGCCACTGAAAGAAGATTTTTATTACTTAAGACTTCCAAGTGAAGGAAGCATGCCACACCATGCAGGGCCACAGGGGAAGCACCAGGTTTGGGTCAGGAGGCAGAACTGAAAGGAGCAAAGGGATAGCCTAAGACAGAATCCTTCCTGGGATTTCCACAGGAAAATGCAAGCCAGGACAGGTTAAACAGTTAAGGATTGGCTGGTTTGAATAATTCTGGCAGACCCTGAGGCACAAGGGCTATTTCTGGTTGTCTGGTACTGGTCCTGGGTTGATTTAGAGCAGTAGAAATATTAGCTCAGTGTGTGAGAATTAGTAAGGAGGTGGTTCATACTATGGGTTGTCAATCACAGGGGAGATATAAACAACTCTGGCCACTAGTTTGGCCTTGTGAGTAATGCATGACAAATAGAAAAACAAACAATCTAAGAAAACACAGTTAGAATATAACTGAGGTAGAATTTGTTAAATTCTTATCTATACAATAATCATTTTGAAAAGAATTCCAGAAATCCTTCATATGGAACTTTGAAACTGTATATAGTGCATAATCGCCTTCAATGGTGCAAAGGTGTATGAAAAAGAAACAGAAAATTATCTTGACTCTGGAACTCATTAGAGAAAAACAAGGGGAAATGGAGAAACATGAAAAAATATAAAAGCAGGCTATGGAAGACTTAGGACTCTGGTACCATTAAACTGCTTATTTTACTTATTCTATTATAATAGAATCATACTTTTTCATATGCAATATTATGTAGACTTTGAAACCAACTGACTGAATACAAATTTCCCTGGGTTTACTAATTGTGAAACAGTGAGCAAGATATTTCACCTTTCTACATCTTGGTGTCTCCATCTGTAAAAGTCGAGGAACTGAGAGGGTTACCCAAGTTCATATATGATGCCTGGCCCATAGGAAAGTTGTTGTAAGTTTTAGATCTCATTAGTGTTTGAATAACCAGATTTCACTGAATATAAGAGGCTGTTTTTTCTTGATCTTACCAGAAGGTGTCAGTGGAAGTTTTTTATACTTTCACATCATGAGTGATACTGATTGAAAGAAATTGTAAGATGTAATCTAATTTCAGAGGAGATGAAATATTTTGAAGTATATATTTTAGAATGTATAAAATAAGTTTTGCGCTTTCATTTAATACTAATTTAATGATGTGTGACAGTCACCAATAGATAATTTAAACTGGCAAAATAATTCATTTCAAATACTAAATAATATAACTTCTTACTTCTGTAAATTCCATTTTGTTCAATCTTGGTTCTGTTGAGTCAGTAATATCCAATTGTTTGCTGTATGATTCTATTTATGGAATGAAGATTATTTGCTAGTTAGTTTGGTTGTAATACATATTTGATATTTATACTATAGTGCTTTAAAAGAATATAAAATTATAAGCTAATGTCTACTCATAATTACAATAAAGTGAATGACATATAGTTGGGTAACATACCAAATACTACAAAATTATTACTTTTCCTGGCTTAGCACGCAAACCAAATACTAAAAAACGAGCCTATATTTTCAATGTCTAGATTGGAATAAAGCAGAAATAAATATGCACATCAATAGTATAAAAGACAACAAAAACATCTGTTTTGGCTTATACCAGCATTTATGCTAGCAAGTCTGAAAACACTTCTGCAAACTTTCTTTTTAGAAACTTTATTTTGTCTTTAATGTTTCTTAAATACTACATAAAAATGTTCTTTTAGTTAACTAATTCAAATAATACAAAAATATAAGCAAAAAACCATGAATATCTTCTTTTTTCTCTACCTCTCATTAGCACTCTCATTCGTCTCTGCCCCAGATGAAACCACTGTCAACAGTTTGTCATCCTTCTAGCAACCTTTCTATGCATTTCCATATGTGTATATAAATGTGTATATATACACGTACCTTTTGTTTTTCTATATGTAAATATGATCATTTTGATGTACAACTTACTTTTTCATTTGCCACTCATAGTAGCTTTTTTTCAAATAGGACCTGGGGCTCAGGGAAATTTTGTAATGTGTGTATAGACCGGGAGTCATCAACTGCAGTCATGAACTTGAATAAGAATGTTCATAGTATGTATAGTGATAAGAAAGCTTAAAAGGAAACTCTGGAAAACAAAATTTAAGGTGTAAGCAAAAGAAGAGTAAAGAAACAAAAACACTAAAAGGTGATCAAAAATAGAAGAAAAAAATAGAATGATATCACAAAAACCAAGAAAAAAGAGTTTTATAAATTAGAGTGATCAATAATGATGAATGTGATAATTAGTTAAAGACTTTTAAACCTTCATTTGATACACAATTTATGTAATCCTTACAGATCTTGCCAAGAGAAAAATACATGAAAGCTCATGATGAAAGAAGTACACACTGGTTTCCTCTCCTACTTCTAATAGTAACTCTTCCTGTCCATCATTGGCTGGCACAGGAGCATAGAAAAGACTTTTCAATCACTCTTGAATTTTGTTAAGTGCTCATTATGAGATATCAGTTATTGTGGCCATAGGAGGACTATATAAATTTTCATATAAGTTTAGGCATTAGATGCTGACATTTCCATCCCAGACCTTCCCCCAAACTTCAGATGATCATGCGAACCAGACTGGTTTCTAGCAGTAACAGTTGCTATTAAATATATGTGTCTGTCTCTGACTGGAGTTTGAGCAACTTAAGGGCAGGAAACATGTCTTGTCAGTCCTCTTTGCATTCTCTACCTCATTACAGTATCTTCAACTAAGTGAGGGCTCAATGATTGTTGACCAAATAAATGAATGGTACAAAAAATAAATACTGTAGTATAGGGGAGAGAAGAAACAGTCACTGTCAATTGGAACACTCTGTAATTTCTGTAATTTTATCGGGATCCTAAACTGAGTTCTCTTAACTCACTCCTTCTGTACCTTCATTTGAAAATACATGAAGTTATTTCAATGATTTTTTGAAACAAGAGTGAAGGACAAGCTGACTGAAGACTTGCAGGCTTTGGATAATGTGAGACCAAGTAGAAAGAGAAAATGTTGTCAGTAAGGCCCAAATCATGTTTGGAGATCAGTGATCAGGAAGATGGGAAGGGTATTTTATTTTTAAAAGTGACAACAGATTTCAGACCATGTATCATTGTCAATGCAACAAAAGTATTCAAAAAATTAAATGGAAAAAAAAATCTATTGGATATAAATTATGTAAATCTCAGGACCCAAACTCTAGTTCCTATGCAAAAAGAGAGTTGTTTTTTTTTTTTTTTTTAACCTAATTTCATATAGGGAAATCTTTCTGAAAACAAAAGCATCAAAATCTGCGAATCTCCATAGGAGTGGTACTGTCCTCCTTTCCTCCCAGAGAGCATGATGGAAATTTGTGGGTGAGTTTTTATTACCACAATGATGAGGAATAGGAGCAGAGGCAGAACTCCTGTAATTCCTGCACAATAAAGACTTTCCCCCTCCTGCAGGACATTCAAGTAGATGAAAAACCTGCTTATAATAATTTTGAACCTAGAACTCAACTCTAGTTTACATATAAATGCAGAATATAATTTTGCTGTGGAATTTTCCAAGAATGTAACTTCCATGAAAATTTGAGAGGGAATTATACTTTGTTTAATTCTACAACTTTATCAAGAGTTGTTCACCATTTCAGAAATTGTGTAGTAGGAAGTAATATAAATTGTATCTGAATTCTAATACAACACACCTGTGTTAGTCTGCATTTCTTGAAATTCTATGTATATATATTCATTTTGCCCTCTTCCCTAATGTCAAATACAAATAAAATAGTCGATTGTATACAGTTTTACTTTTCTTAAATCTAAAAGTTCATTATAATTAGGTAGAAATGTCTGACTACTTCATTATGTCTTCTAGTAAAGTTGTAGCAATGCATTTATATATTGAAATACAGTGCATATAATTTATTTTTTAGAGGGAATCTCCCTCTGTCACCAGGCTGGAGTGCAGTGGCATGATCTTGGCTCACTGCAACCTCCGCCTCCTGGGTTCAAGCAATTCTCCTGCCTCAGCCTCCAGAGTAGCTGGAGGTGCCTGCCACCATCCCGGCTAATTTTTGTATTATAGTAGAGTCTGGGCTTTCACTATGTTGGCCAGGCTGGTCTCAAACTCCTAATCTCAAATGATCTGCCTACTTCCCAAAGTGCTGGGATTACAGGCATGAGCCACTACACCAGACCTCTGAAGAAGTCTTAAGCCTAATATCTATAGTAACAGAACTGGATGAGATTCCCCAGGGAAATTTATGTAGCAAGAAAAGAGAACTCAAGGAACAACATTTGAGAAACAAAGAATGACCCCAGGAGGGTTATAACTAAGGTGTAGGTTATAAGAGTGGGTAGAGTCAAGGAAATTCAAATTAAGGAATTTAGGGAGGCAGTGTTCAACTCTGGTGAATCTTAGCATGAGTCACTGTGCCTGACCAGTGCCTATCATTTTCTTATGCCTTTCCTTATATTTCTCCTTTCTATCACAGTTATGACATCATATTTTTCTTTTAAAATTTTGTGTATGTAAGAAATATTTTCTAGGAATGTCATAGTATAATAAGAGAGTATTGGAGAGTATGGTAATAAAATGGACACCAGACTAAAAGGATTGAGAATCACAGATTGCTTTTCTCCTTTTATACATTATCTGGAAAGCATGGAAGAGCCTAATTGCATTGACTCTTCATCTGAATTCAGTGTCCCCCACCCAAAAAAGAGATAAAAATAAAAATATCAGAGTAATAGGCAGACTTACCAAGCTTGAAATCTGGATTTTGAAAGAATTCATGAAGAGCATTCTGAATCTGCAAATCAAAAGAGAAAAAAAAAATAAAGAAACCATATGCTGCTCCTCAGTTATCACATATTTGTTACTTTAGACTAAAAGCCATCTATAGTCTTTCTATTTTAGTATTGGGTGATCTTTCCAACTCAAGGACAGAAATAGCAATAAGTCACATGTAATTTCTACAAGGGGTCTTCAAAAGTTCATGGAAAATGTGTATTATAAAAAACTATGCATGGATTTCAAAATTTTGCACAAAAATAAACTTGTAATAACTTGTTATGTCTAAACAAGATCTAGCTTGAGTAACTAAAAAGGATAAGACATCAGTTTGAAGAAAGCCCCTATCAGAGCAACACAAATTCTGCTTAAATTGAAGCAAAAACATTAAATTTATGGTGAAGCTTGGCTGAAAGGATTGTGAAATCACTGGTGTTTTATAAAGTGTTTAGGGAGACAATGCTCCAAAGAAATCAGCAGTTTACAAATGGATAATTCATGTTAGGAAAGGATGAAATGATGTTGAAGATAAAGCCCATGGCGCAGACCATCCACACCAGTTTTCAAGGAAATAAAATCATCTTGCTCATGTCCTTATTGAAGAGGACTAAAAATTAACAGCAGAAGCAATAGGCAACACATAGACATCTCAATTGGCTCTGCTTACACAATTCTGACTGAAAAATTAAAGTTGAAAAAATTTCTAGTCAATGGGTGCCAAAACCATTGCACCCAGATCAGGTGCAGATAAGAGCAGAACTTCAGATGGAATTTTTAAACAAGTGGGATCAAGATCCTGAAGCATTTCTTCAAAGAATTGTAACAGGAGATGAAACATGGCTTTACCCGTGTGATCCTAAAGACAAAGCACAATCAAAGCAATGATTGGTTACCAAGAGGTGGAAGTGGTCCTCTTAAAAGCAGACTGATCAAGAGAAGGTCAAAGCAACAGTTTTGGGGATGCTTAAGGCATTTTGCTTGTTAACTTTCTGGAAGACCAAAGAACAATAACATCTGTTTACTATGAGAATGTTCTGAGAAACACTAGCTAAAGCTTTAGCAAAAAAAAATGTCTGGGAAAGCTTCACCAGAGAGTCCTCCTTCACCACAGTAATGCTGTTGCTCATTCGTCTCATCAAACAGGGCAAGCTGTGCACACTGGCACACACCTGTAATCCCAGCTACTCAGGAGGCTGAGGCAGAAGAACTATGAGCTTGTGCGAACCTGGACAAAATGGAAACACCTGTCTCCACTAACAAAACAAGAACAATTTTGTGAGAGTTTCAATGAGAAATCATTAGGAATCCACCTTACAGTCCTGATTTAGCCCCTTCTGACTCTTTATTTTCTAATCTTAAAAAAATCATTAAAGGACTCCTATTTTTCTTCAGTTAATAATGCAAAAAAAGACTGCATTGAAATGGTTAAACTCCCAGGACCCTCTGTTCTTTAGGGATGGACGAAATGGCTGGTATTATCACTTACAAGTGTCTCGAACTTGATGGAGACCCTTTTTATTTATTTATTTGCCATTTAAAAAGTAATGGCAAAAACCACAATTACTTTTGCACCAACCTAATATTTGAGATGGGGTTTTGCCACGTTGGCCAGGCTGGTCTCGCACTCCTGGGCAAAAGTGATCCTCCTGCCTCAGCCTCCTAAAGTACTGGGATTACAGGCCTGAGCCATGGCACCCAGCCTGATGGAGCTTATGTTGACCTATAAAGTTTATATTTTTAATTATATTTTAATTCAATTTACCCACACAGTTTTTGAAGTCTCCCCTTAAGGGTATAAAAAGTTATTTTACATATATATTCTCAATGATTCCCAACCTTTTTGTGTGATTAGGACTGAGATGCTGACAGTGACCCCATTTTGCCTTCTACAGGGGATATTTCTAGCAACTGTCAGACCTGGCATGATGGAGCTAAGGCACTTTTGGCAAGCACTTTGGCCATCCAAAGAATCCTCTGTACTTCTTCATTCTTCAATTACTAAAGATAAAACTTCAGAGTTCTTCTTGGTCCATTTTTGAAACCATTTTATTTTTTAGAGAAGTTTTAAGTGCACAGGAAAACTGAGCAGAAATTACAAAGAGCTCACACACACACACTCTATACACATACACGGCCGTATACTATTATTAATATCCTGCACCAGAGTCAATAAATCTACACTGACATGTCATTATCACCCAAACTCTGCACTTTATATTAGAGGTCTCTGCACTGTAGCTTTGACCTCCTGGACTCGAGTAATCCTCCCACCTCAGCCACCCGAGAAGCTAGAACCACAGCCTGGCTAATTTTTAAATTTTTTTGTAAAAACAGGGTCTCCCTATGTTCCTTAGGCTGGTCTTGAATTCCTGGCCTCAAGCAATCTTCCTAACTTGGCCTCCAAAAGTACTGGGATTATAGGTGTGAGCCACCACACCCAAAGAGATATGTCTTCTGTGAATATTTTCTCCCAGTCTGTGGCTTGTCTTCCCTGGTCTCTTTTTAATCATTCACTTTAAACTGAAAATATGCTTAGCATTGTATCTAATAAAAAAGTATTTCCAAATCCATATATACCTAAGAAAACCATTTAACTCTTAGAGTACAGTTGTTCTCTAGAGCTAAGTGACAGTCTCATGGGTCTCACAGAAGTAGACACACACACACACACACACACACACACACACCCCCCAAACACACAAATGAAATATATGTCTGTTTATAATGATGAGTTTGGAACCTTAGCTAGAGTCAAGATTTTAGAAATCTAGCTAGAATTTCTTTTTTTTTTTTTTTTTAAATGCTCAAGAGAAATTGAAGGAATCAACTCTTATGAACCAGACAAGTCAAGGCTTACCTTAGCAGTACTGAAAATTTCAAGGGAGGCTTCTAGTATGCTACTCAGTATTCTAGCAACTGTCCTCTTACCACTTACCCCACCTACCTTTCACATATACCCCCCATTTTCTTACCACTGACACAGGAATCATTCCTTTAGGGTCTAGAATCCACTCATCGAATTGCTCCTGCAGAGCCTGTTTCCGTGTGTTGGCCACCTTGACTTTGATTTTGCCTATGCTTTCTCTTTGTTTTCTATTCTGTTTAACATTCTCTTTCATCCTGGATACTCTGTAGGATGTAGATATAGAAAACATGTTGAGTTGATACCCTTGGATTTAGTTCAGATTAGAATACAGGAATTCAGAATCTCTTTCAAACTGCTTACCTGTTTTTTTCTCCATGAAATCTTTGTTTCAAGTCTGTAGTGAACCCTTCTTTCCCCAAGCACTTAATGAATTTGGCATTAATCATAGGGTACTTTCTACTGTTTGACTTTTTATAGAGGTAGGCCTTATTTTACCCAACTAAATACTAGACTTAAGAAGTATTGATAGGAATGTAAATTAGTACAAACATTATGGAAAATGGTAAGGACGTTCCTCAAAAAACTAAAAACAGAATTACTGTATGATCCAGCAATCTTATTTCTGGGTATTTACCCAAAAGATCTGAAATCAGTTTGTTAAAGAGAGGGCTGCACGTCCATGTTCACTGCAGCACTATTTACAATAGCCAAGTTATAGAACCAACATAAATGTCCACCAACAGACAAATGGATAGAGGGAATGTGGTTTATAAATACAATGGAATACTATACAGCCTTTAAAAAAGAAGGAAATTCTGTCATTTCTGATAGCAGGAATGAATTGGAGAACATTATGCTAAGTGAAAAAAGTCAGACACAGGAAGACAAATACCACAAGTTCTCACTTATTTGTGTAATATAAAACAAACAAACACATAGAAACAGAGAGTAGAATGGTGGTTACAGAAGCTGGGAATGGGGGAAATGGAGAGAGGATGGTCAAAGGGTATAAAATCTCAGACAACATGAAGAAGTTTTTTTTTGAGATCTATTGTATTGTACATTTCACAATTGCTGAGAGTAAATTTCTAATGTTTTCATCACAAAAAAATAATATGTATTTGGGTGATAGATATACTAATTTGTTTGATTTCATTATTTCACATTGTATTCAAAAATTAGAACATCACTTTGGCCTCACAAATGTATATAAGTTGTTGATTTACAACTTAAAAAACAGGTAGTAAAAATAGCTCTAGAAGATGCTATATGTACTGAAAAGGCAAGATTGGATGCAGTAAGGCCTTAGGGTACTGAGCTTCTCTCTTCCCTGGACACAGATATCATCTGAAAAGGTTGATTTCAGGTCTAGAGTGGAAGCCTAGAAGATGCATTTATACAAGCATCCCAGGTCATTCTGATGCCTTGGGTGAAACTTTTGAGAAATCAGTCTAGCAGTATATCTTGGCTAATTGCCTTTATCTAGCCAAAGTCACATGCTTTGCCAGTCACTGCTAATGTCCTGAGCATAAAAGTTATCCTTGCAGCTACAACCGTACCACTCAGGTTAAGAATGGGGGAAAAACTGTGTCTATGTGCATCACTCCTATTAGGACTCCAAAAGCCCCAAACTGGCTTTGATCAAGATCAAAGAGATTGGCTCAGAATAATAAAAATAGTCGCTGGTTTCAAGTGCAATTTTTTCCCAACAATATTTCAGGCAAGTCTTCATCTTTCTTT